ATTTTGAACAGGCATACTATGACAGTATACATTTTCCACGTCCTAAGATCTTAATTTCAAGTTTCTGTTAACATCTTTGCTTTATATTTAAAGCCTACTATAAATTATTCGTCATGTATCTTTTTTCGAGATGACAAAGAACTAGATGGAAATATTTTTTAAAGCTATCAATTTCCTTATCTTTCCTCAGGGAAGATATGTACCAGAAGAAATGTGTTGGGGAAAAAAATGACAACTTGGTTTAGGTTTTTCTGTTTTGCTTAAATCTGAAAGGGCATACTGCCTACAGTGAATTTAGCAGGGAGAAAGTGGGCCAAAATGAGGAAAAGAGAGAGACTACAATATGAAAATTCTCTAGAAGAATAGAAAAGTAATCCAAGCTTTTTATTTTTTCTTTTATTTATTTTTTTAAACAGAGTCTCGCTCTTTTGCTCAGGCTGGAGTGCAGTGGCACAATCTCAGCTCACTGCAACCTCCACCTCCAGGGTTCGAGCGATTCTCCTGCCTCAGCCTCCAGAGTAGCTGGAATCACAGGCACCCGCCACCATGCCCGGATAATTTTTTTGTATTTTTAGTAGAGACGGGGTTTCAACACGTTAGCCAGGCTGGTCTCGAACTCCTGACCTCAGATGATTCCCCCGGCTCGGCTTCCCAAAGTGCTGGGACTACAGGCATGAGCCACTGCACCCAGCCACAAGCTTTTGAAGTATAGTAACTTTCTGAGATAAAGAAAATATTCATATTTCTTATAAAAATCATTAAACATATAATTATTTTGATCCTCTGTTCTGTCTTACTTCCTCTGATTATTATTTATTTATTTATTTTGAGACAGAGTCTTGCTCTGTCACCCAGGCTAGAGTGCAGTGGTGTGATCTCGGCTCTCTGCAACCTTTACCTCCAGGGTTCAAGTAATACTCCTGCCTCAGCTTCCTAAGTAGCTGGGATTACAGGTACAGGCCACCACGCCTGGCTGGTTTTTTACATTTTCAGTGGACATGGGGTTTCACCATATTGGTTGGTCAGGCTGGTGTCAAACTCCTGACCTCAAGTGATTGGCCTCCCAAACTGCTGGGATTACAGGCGTGAACCACCACACCCAGCCCTGATTAATTTATTTTAAGAATTAGTTACGCCAGACCAGGCACGGCGGCTCAGGCCCATAATCCCAGCACTTTGGGAGGCTGAGGCAGGTAGACCACCTGAGGGCAGGAGTTCAAAACCACCCTGGCGAACTGGGTGTGGTAGCACACGCCTGTAATCCCAGCTACTCCGGAGGCTGAGGCAGAAATCGCTTGAACCCAGAGGTGGAGGTTTCAGTGAGCCGAGATTGTGCCACTGCACTCCAGCCTGGCCCAACAGAGCGAGTCTCTGTCTCAGGGGGGTAAAAAAAAAAAAAAAAAAAAGCATTAGTTATACTAGAGTAATGAAAGGTAAAACGTTTTACGTGCATTTTCATGAAACTCAATAGCAAAAAATTCCAAACTGTCAGTTATGAAGAGAATTTTTAGAAATCACACTCTCCATTTCTAAGTGCTTGATATAAAGTTCCAACCTCTTTACAATGAAGAAAAGGCTTGGAAATGCATTTCTGGATACTTTTTTCCTTTGTGACAGCCTTACTATGTTGTCCAGGCTACATCTGAAATCCTGAGTTCAGGAAATCTTCCCCATCTCAGCCTCCAAAGTAGCTGGGGCTATAGGTATGTACCACCATGCCTGGCTTTTCTGTATTCTTTTTCTAAATAATCTAAAATACTGGTAAATCACATTCTGCTGCAAGTGACAGATCTTAAACACAAGGTCCAGAAAACTAAAGGGCAACCTTTAGTCATATGATCTTTAGGTACACAACAAAGAAAAAGCATCATAAAGTCAACAGTTAAGGCCAGACACAGTGGCTCCTGCCTGTAATCCTAGTGCTTTGGGAGGCTGAGATGGGAGGACTGCTTGAGTTGTGAACCTTTCAGAATTGAAGCAGAGATTTGAGGACTAGGTAAAGGACATTGTAAGACTCCAAAAGTGTCATACAATGGTGTACTTAAGGACCTGAAAAACTTAACAGCTCATCCTGTGTACAAATAGCTTATAATTAGAGAGCTATGGCTTCGTAGCAGTCATTCCCTATAGAACAAATGCTTTTTGGGACAGAGTGTGATAGTTCACACCTCTTTATGTTCAAGATGCCTATTTCTACTCTGCTGTTCAAATGAAGAATGAAAAACACTGAATTATAACTGTTGATTCTTATTTCCTTTTTTGTTTGTTTGTTTGTTTGTTTGTTTTGAGGCAGGGTCTCACTCTGTTGCCCAGGGTAGAATGTAGTGGTGTGATCATAGCTCACTTGGAAGTCTTGAATTCCTGAGCTCAAGCAACCCTCCTGTCTCAGCTTCCCAGACAGTTAGGACTTCAGGAAATACCACCATGACAAGCTAATTTTTTTTTTATTCTTTTTGTAGAGACGGGGCTTCACTATGTTGACCAGACTAGTCTCAAACTCCTGGCCTCAAGTGGTTTTGTTAACGCTGTTCTCAAAATTTATCTCAAGTGGTAATTTAGCCAGTAAATAAAAATTAAAAGTAAATGTTTAAAATAACTTTAACAGTTAAATTTTATACAATATTAAACACGGAGACTCACAGTATACTATAGACAACCATAGATTTTATAGATTTCAGATGCAGTATAGCGCGGTATAAAATAATTATGAAAATGTTAGAAAGTAGACAAGGGAGTTTATTATGGCTGGGTGCTGTGGTTCACGCCTGTAATCCCAGTACTTTGGGAGGCTGAGGCAGGAGGATTACTTGAGGCCAGGAGTTGGAGACAAGCCTGGGTAAAATGGCGTGACCTAGTCTCTACAAAAAATACAAAAATTAGTCGAGCATGGTGGTGCGCGCCTGTAGCTCCAACTACTCAGGAGGTTGAGGTGGGAGAAACTCATGAGCCCAGGAAGTGGAGGCTACACTGGGCAGTGTTCACAGCCTAGCTGACAGAGTAAGACTCTGTCTCAAAAAAAAAAAAAAGCCAGGCGCGGTAGCTCACGCCTGTAATTCCAGCACTTTGGGAGGCCAAGGCGGACGGATCAAGAGGTCAGGAGTTTAAGACCAGCCTCACCAACATGGTGAAACCCCATCTCTACTAAAAATACAAACGTTAGGGCTGGGCACGGTGGCTCATGCCTGTAATCCCAGCACTTTGGAAGGCCAAGATGGGTGAATCACGAGGTCAGGAGTTCAAGACCAGCCTGGGCAATATGACGAAACTTCAGCTCTACTAAAAATACAAAAATTAGCTAGGCGTGGTGGCAGGTGTCTATAATCCCAGCTACTTGGGAGGCTGAGGCAGGAGAATCATTTGAACCCAGGAGGCAGAGGCTGCAATAAGCCAAGATCATGCCACTGCACTCCAGCTTGGGTGACAAGAGCAAGACTCCATCTCAAAAAAATAAATAAATAAATAAAAATAAAAATACAAAAATTAGTTGGGCATGGTGGCGCACGCCTATAATCCCAGCTACACCAGAGGCTGAGGCAGGAGAATTGCCTGAAGCCAGGCGTTGGAGGTAAGAGTGAGCTGAGATCACACCACTGCACTCCAAGCCTGGGTGACAGAGCGAGACTGAATTAAAAAAAAAAAAGTTTAGAGTTCATTATATTTATTATCTGCCATAGTCCTTCCAAATTCCTGTTCTCAGAAACTGGATTTCTTGCCTTGTAGTATTACACCTTTTTTTTTTTTTTTTTTTTTGAGATGGAGTCTCGCTCTGTCGCCCAGGCTGGAGTGCAGTGGCGCGATCTTGACTCACTGCAAGTTCCGCCTCCCGGGTTCACACCATTCTTCCGCCTCAGCCTCCCGAGTAGCTGGGACTACAGGTGCCCGCCACCACGCCAGCTAATTTTTTTTTTTTTGTATTTTTAGTAGAGACGGGGTTTCACCGTGTTAGCCAGGATGATCTCAATATCCTGACTTCATGATCTGCCTGCCTCAGCCTCCCAAAGTGCTAGGATTAAAGGCGCAAGCCACCGCGCCTGGCCAGTATTATACTTTAAAATAAACCTAGGCTCTTTTTTTCCCATTAACATAACAGTTTCAACTCTCTTTCCTACTGGAAAAAGTCAAAGGTGTTTCCTGTTGCATATGCCTTGATACATATATCTTTGGAGCACGTCCTTAATTTTAACTCTTCCTATCAAAGAAGAAACCACTCATTTGGCTAAGAAACTCATTGCTTCTGAAAAGGCAAGTCAGAAATCTTTCTTCATTTCAGTCATTTCTGGCAAATGAGAACTAAAGCCAGCTCAAGGTTTAGCCCCTACTAGCTCCCCACCAGCATCAGATGCAGCTATGAAGGGAAGCTACTTGTAATCATTTCAACCAAATCCAAAAGTCAGAGAATCAAATTCTTTGTTCCATATTCCAACAGGTCTACCATTATGCAGTTTATCTTCCAAATTAAAACAATGATACTCTAAGATCAACATCTCTGCAGACATAGAATCAAAATTGAGCTTTACATTATTAGCAGGAGCACTATTTTAAGTGATAATACTCCCAAATTAAGCTGTGTGGATATAAGTATTTACTAATATATTTCCCCACTGATTCCACAATATAAGTGTGTAAAAATCTTAACAAAAATATATACTGTACTAGATAAAAGTCTACTCTGTTTAACAGTAAAAGGAACAACTTTAAAAATAATTTTATTTTTGAACTAAAAGTACAAATGCTATATAACTACCTCTGTATTCCAAATAAAACATGCTTTTAAAAAATTGCTGTAAAGAATGGAAAATATTGTAAAACAAAACATATCAACCACTTTTGTGAGGAAACCCATTACTGAAGATTTAAGTAATCATCCTGAATAAACAAACAATAAAGGATGCAAATCCCCCCTCACAAGTCAATTCTTTTGACACAGAATTAAAACTTTATCAAGTAGTTCATTACTGCAGCATATCAGTAATCAAACAATACATTTAGTAAATACATACAGTTCCAGAAAGGACATCATGAGGACAACAGTTGAGAAGGTGACTCTTGCATACTCTGTCATCACTGAATTTGATTCGTTGACGAGTAGTATCTCCTGTAATATAGAAGAGTTAATAACATTCAAGGTTAGACAACTGGAAAGTATTATTCTGAGAGCCCTACTATTACTAGCTTTTTATGTGTGGCTATATACACACATTATAAATCAGCTCAAGAGGGATTAGTTTTTATATACATCCTATAGAAAAACTATTTTAGACAACATGCAGTTGCAGTAAGTGTACTGCATACATAATTCAAATAGTCAAAGTGAGAAAGCAATGCATTCTGTTAAATAGAGTACTTCAGAAAAGCATAGGATTTTAGAGCAGGAATGGACTTTAAAGATTATCGAGTCCAACTCCTTCATACTGCAGATGAGAAAACTGAGGCCCCGAGAGGTTAAGCAACTTGCAGACCCACTAAGAGAGTTTATACTGGTATACAATGTTCCCTTCTTGACACTAAGCATTGATATATTTTTATTTACAGTAATTGAAAAACATAAAAAATAATCTTGCAAACATTGCATACACACTGCGAATCCCCACTGAACCCCAGACGCCATTTCTTCCACTATTTTGTTCCAGCTGAAGTGTCTCCCTTTTGCTGCTGGGAGGAGTTAGAGAGGGTAGAATAACGCGTTTAAGAGCGTACAAACCTGGAAGAAGGACTTACACACCAGTCAAACAAAGGCACATTGCCTAATGAAACGTTAACTTTAATGCGTCCAAAGGTTCCATACCTCCAAGTTTTATGTAGTCTGAGCTTTTCTATGCTGCCAAACTGGGTATATTTAAATTCATTCTGTCTTCATATAACACAATACACCTACCTCCTAAGCAAAAGAAGCATCCAACCTGCTTATCAAATATGGCTATCTACTCAAAACGTTAAAGAATCTAAGAAAAAGAAAGGTAACTAGCTCCAATAACAAAATACAGATGTTACAATTTTTTTGCTTAGAATCTCTTCGGAAAGACAAAAGAAAAAACTCATAAGGATGTTTCCTTTCTACACAGAATAAGCCCTAAGAAATGTAGGTGTTTTATTTTAGCCTTAAACTGATACACTATCGATGAATGAAAACCTACTGGTGAAATACTGAAGCGAGAACTATTGGTGCCAAAAGAGATATAAATACCTCCGTACTTCACATGATATGCCTGGAGCACTCCAAAAACTTTCGTGTAGGATGTGATTCAATCATTTAGTTTCTGTATTTTCACATGTAAGTAACAAAAAAGATTAAAATTTTACCCCTTTATATGGTCATAGACTAAAGAGCTTAACTTAAATTCAACTAAATACTATCATTTTTAGATGGGGTAAGATTTTGTTCAAATTGTTTTAACTTGGTTAAAGATATTTTCAAAACGTTCTAATTTGCAACCAGGGTATATAAAATTTTAACAACAGTAATTTATAGTTAAAACGATGGCTTCAGAGCAGTTCAACAATAGGTTTTCTAGAAGCTCGTCTCTAGTAGGTTATTTTTGACACAATTTGGAATATTCAGTTTAGTGTTTACGCCTGCTACTATAATGAAAGTTATTTTGATGGTCCTTTTTCCTTTTAAACACAACTGCTTTTGTTCCACATTCATTAACACATCTGAAAAGTTAGCGATAACTCACGGCTTGGCGAATGCGGGGCCTTTCTGACACTCCCTTGCAGATTGAGGTAGGCAGGCATAGATACATTGAACCTTTACAAATAAAACAAGGGGCCAGATTGTTCATTTTGTATAGAATAAACTCTGCCAGCAATTTCAATACAGCATCTAGAAGTACATGTTGACTGTAAAGATTCTTTTATATAAAAACAAAAGTGAACAAAATCAGGGTGTTTCATTTTTAAAATACTGACTTAACAAGCATAACCCCAGATAATTGTTTGACTGACTACAGGTAAAAGTCCAAAGCTGGAACTCTGGACAATGTCTTTGAACCAAGTGGGGTTTTAAAAAATTATGTCTTTAAAAAGTATGTTTCATCAAGATTTTGGTGAGGACCTCAAGCTCATGTTAGAATGGTACTATGATAAGCTCATAGCAGAATGTCAATGCTATTTAATTACAGGCGTTTTGCTTCCTATCATTTAAGAAAAAAATTTCATTTTAAATCTGTACCCTAATTATATTAAGGAATTTTAAAATGATAAAATTTTAAAGTTGAAACAAAAAAACAAAACAAAACAAAAAAACCCTTATGTATCTATTAGTTTTCCTGCTAAAAGTATCTAAATGTTTTGGTAATGCAACAGCAGAATCATTTCAGTGCTCTGTTAAACTAATGGCTCAGGCCTTAGAATAAAATCAGTATTCATGAAGTTTACTAATCAAACATTTCATCAACTAGAGTAACTGATTTCTGCTTAACAACTTACATTCAAATATTAAGTTAATTGTGCCCTGAAGACACAGCTATCAGTTAAAATATGAACAATTCCTAATAGGAATATAGCAAACCAGCAAGTATCCCTAGTGAGCTTTTTCGTGTTTTTTAAAATTTTTATGGATACATAGTAATTGTACATATTTTCCCTGGTGAGCTTTTAAAATCAGAATCTGTTTCTATAAATGCCAAAAAGCATTTTAAAATAACTTCTCACTGCAAATGAATGGGTGCTCCATAAATATTTGATAACTGTAGCAAACACAACAAATACAGCTATCAAACAGCAGCCATTATAGAAATCTTTAAAACAATGATATAATAAAACGCTTAATAATTTGAGATACAGAAATACTCTGAGAGGGAATAGCAACTGACTGTTTATTGGTATTTTTAAAGTTCTGCTTAGGGGACTTTAATAAAGGTTGACATTTTAAAACAATCTGGCTGCATAACCATGCAGTACTTAACAAAATTATTTGGGCTTATTCCATGGAAGTACAATTCAGCTAAATCAACAATGATTTTTAAAAGAAAAATGCTGGTATAATTTGGTTTCTGTCAAGATATCTGGCCCAAACCATGTTTTTCGTAAGAAACTAGGTAAAACAGCGCCTACTTTATAAAAAGAAGAAGAAAGAACTGCAAATAGGAACCAAATCACCTTATAATAAAAGAAATTATTTTCAATTTAGTGTGTTTTATCTTTGGGTTTTGTGGGCATAAAGTCATATAAAAATAACCTAAATTATGGGGGGAAAAAAAGTATCCTGTCACACTGACATTGGATCCAAATCACAGAATCAAACCTATCAGTGACCACATCTGCTGTGCTAGGCAATGGAATTACAAAGGGGCATATAAGACAAGCTCTCTCCCCACAAGGAGCCAATGATTTTGCTAAAGAGATAGGACATACTAATTTTAAAAATTTTTTAAATTTTTTTGTAGAGACAGGGTCTCACTACGTTGCCCAGACTGATCTCCAACTCCTGGCCTCAAATGACCCTCCCTCCTCGGCCTCCCAACATGCTGGGATTACAGGCAGGAGCCACTGCACCCGGCCAAGGATATATTAATGGAGTAATAAGTTATAATACAAGATAACATGATCCAAGTATCAAATGTATGTTTCAATTAGGTAGTACTTCAGGAATTCTTAGACTAAAATTACCACCAAGAATGGAGATATTGGGAAAAGCTTCATGCAGTAAGTAGCCAAAATTCGAAGGAAAGACAGGACTTAGATCAAAGGAAAGTAGAAAAACAAGCACTACAACCTGGAGTAATAGCTTTGACAAAGCTTATAGAAACAAGGTTTGGGGGGACAGTCCTAAGTAAACCGTATTTAGCTTTGGCAAATGGCTTCATGTAGAAGAATTGCAGAGTTGGGATCAGAACAACACTTTTTGAGTAACATTTGATTTCTTACAATTTTCATTTTTTAATCCAAATTTTTAGTGTATAAAGTAAAAAAATAAAATAATATAATGGAAGAGAAATCAGACGAAGTTACTTCTGTCAACAACAAAAAATATCCCACCTATAAAACCATGGAGATCTCTCTGTCCTATAACCTCTACAATAGTTCATTAGGCCTTGTACATAACTACACAGCCAAGTTTTTAGAATTAGAAACTGGATTTAGAACTCTAGCAAGTGTTTTTCATTTTAATAGAAACATCAACTTTTCTAATAATTCCTATTTCTACCAAATTCTCTGCCAAGCAACAACTCTCTTACCTCCCTCTTTTGTTCAACCCCTTCATGAGTTTCATGAATTATAATCTTTGAGAACACCTGAGTCACAAGTACACAATAAAAATGAGGATGCATATTATTCATCTCCAGGTCTGTCATCAATGTATCAGAACCTAAGGTGGTACTGAGGCAGTCAGTTCCATTCAGGGAATATGGACAGGTCACTTTAAAAAGAGGCCTCCTCTCTAAATTTGACTCAAATACTGCTATTCTCAAAATCCCCTTCCGTATGTCAGGAGGGAAAAAAATAAGCCCACTGTAATTTCCAACACTTCCATTCTATGGTCCTGCCTTTTCTGAAACTTAATATATTAACACTTAAATTTTATTAGTAACATTACAACCTTAGCCTAGGTAGTATCCGACATGATTTTATACGTTGCATGCTATCTTCCCAATATCCACCCCCTCCCCCCAGTACTACCCACCCTCTCCCTCCCGTACAAACAAGAAACCAAATCAACTTTCATAGATTTAGGTGCTATTTTAAAAACATCAAAATTTTACTTTACCCATTCTCTCCGATGCTCCCTGTATTTTTTTAAGCTGTGAGTGGATGACCATGCTATGTGATCAACAACTGTGAAGGCTAAGCAAAAGTGAACTGAGTTTAGTATTGTAATTTCAAAAGAACCTTAAAGTTTGTAATATTTGACATATTTAATGGTATGCAGAATCCTATTTTACTGTACATTATCAGGCATTCATGGCAAGCAATTTATAAAAACAATCAGTATTTATTTTGCACAGAATTAGCTTAGAGCTTAGCTTAGGAAAAACAAAGAGGGAGGAGAAAATGCAACAGCATACAAAGCAATGGAGACACTCCCATGTCTATAAATGGGGGCAGGGGAAGGGAAGCCCTCCCACATTCTCTAGTGTGGCAACTGAAGCCCTCCCCACAGGTACACTAGTTAAGGGTCATGTGTCACAGTGGGCTTGGGACAGGACAGTTCCCTTCCCTCTGAAATAAGATCCATAACCCTTCAGTGAAAGGAAAGCTAGAGCTCAAGAGGTGTACAACCAAAAGCTTAAAGCTTGTTTTTCTGACCCCTTGAATCCCTAAATGCAGAGAAATGTTCCTCCCTCTTTTTCCCTCTAATTTCCTCCCTCCATTTCTTCCAACATAAGCTGCTGAGTTCACATATAATAATGTGGGAACTGTACAAAGATCCACGGCCAATTTCTAGTCTAGCCCAGGGCAGGAAGAGATCTAAAGCAGTGCACAAGTAAAACCTTGTGTCACTGGGCACGGTGGCTCATGTCTGTAATCCCAGCACTTTGGGTGGCCAAGGCAGGCAGATCACCTGAGGTCAGGAGTTCAAGGCTAGCCTGGCTAACATGGTGAAACCCCGTTGCTACTAAAAATATAAAAATTAGCTGGGTGTAGTGGCACATGTCTGTAATATCAGCTACTCAAGAAGCTGAGATGGGAGAATCACTTGAACCTGGGAACTGGAGGTTGCAGTGAGCTGAGAGCGCCAGTGCACTCCAGCCTGGCCCACAGAGCAAGGCTCTCTCTCTGAAAACAAGCAAACAAAAAACCCTTGTGTCTTCATGTGGAATCAAAGTAAAAGCGATGACTACTGCTGCACAGTAACTATTATACTAAGGAGCCAATCTGATCATTTTTACACCTTCCTCAAACTTTCTCACCCACTCTACCAAATTCTCCCACCTACCTTTGTTGTTCCTTTAGAATTCAGCTTAAAATCCACCTATACAAATCCTTTTGTAATTAACCTTTTAAAAAAACATTACTCCCTTACTACATGTTCCCTTGTTCATACATACACTCAGTTTAACTCACTGTATATTTAAACAGCCCAAAGTATAGGGTTCATTTTACAAAAGGACTCATCACCATGTCTTAACATAATAATACAGATGCTTTGAAAACATTTAATATGTCTTGATCTATGTAAAACTTTCCACACATATATTTATTACATAAGGGAAGAAAGATTACTATGCCAAAGATGGCAATGGGAAAAAACAATTATGACAGTCTGCCTTCCAAATGTGACATCAAGTAATCTCTAATAAAACAAAGCAGCTTTCCTTTCCTCCAGAAAATGCAAACACAAGGGTGCCACACAGCTCAGAAAAGTTATCCTTCTTAATCTTCTGGTTCATATGGTCCCACAAGTTTATAATCAGAAATAAGTACTAGTATCACCCCCCACCATAATCCCCACGACAAGCCGAACATTTTAAAAATGCAATGCCCATTATAGAAGAAATTTCCAGAACAAGTTCATTCTTGCTGGATAAGATCAAAGATTAATAACATTTTTAAAATGTTAAAAATCTGGCCCACTTGTCTGTGAAAATCCGTATCACAAGATTATAAAGAATGAGACTGGGAAACAGCCTTGATAGTAGAAGAAAAAGCTCGTAGGATCTTTTGAAGCTAACCAGAATAGTGATGATGAAAATGTGAGAACAGGAATACTAAAGAATCTCCATTCCAAGGGCTCTATTCCATGCCCTGCACCTATCTTCTCTCACTGTATTAATATAAGCAAAAGGTCTTGGCAGCTGGCAGGGATCAATGCCATCATGTTTTGGGGGGTACCTGCTTTAGGAAATCTATCAGCTTATTTCTCTTCTTAAATTTACAAGAGACACCAGAAAAGCCTGAATAGTTACTTTAAGTCCTAAAATGGGTTATAAAGAATTTAAGATACATGGCATAAAAAGTTGCAGCCTGCTAAATTTTTTATGTTGATACTTACTTGCAGAGCTGCAATTCTGATACAGTAACAACTGCACTCTGGATAGCTGGTGCCTTCCTATCATCCAGAACTTTCTATATACAAAATTAGAAGTAATGAAAGCTATCTTTTGGCTACCAAGCAATAGTTGAAAAGATTCAAAGAAAAAGTGACCAGCTGATTTATCTATTAAAAAAGACAAGTTCTCATGAGCTGGTGATAGTTACAGAAGCCAACTAGAGCCTCTCCAAATCTAAAAGAAAAGAAATAAAAAAGAAAAAAAAAGATGAGGATATCAAAGGACAGAGGTGATAGACAACCCAATGATAAAGGAAGAAGTTAAAATGAAAAACAGATTGCCATGAAGGAGACGTGCGCCTTAAAACTAAACACCGCAGAAATACCGCGTCACAGTGAATATACAACAAATTTACGAAAAGGGTTGCCTCTGGGGAAAGGACTGAGACTGTGACGGGGACCACAAAAGACTTTATTTGTAATGCTTTATCCACTTCTTCCTAGTTTTTGTTGTTGTTTTTTTTTTTTTTTTTGAGATGGTGTCTCACTTTGTCGCCCAGGCTGGAGTACACTGGCACCGTGTTGGCTCACTGCAACTTCCGTCTCCTGGGTTCAAACAATTCTCCTGCCTCAGCCTCCCAGGTGACTGGGATTACAGGCACCCACCACCATATCCAGCTAATTTTTATATTTTTAGTAGAGACGGGGTTTCACCACCTTGGCCAGGCCGGTCTTGAACTCCTGACCTCAGGTGATCCACCCGCCTTGGCCTCGCAAAGTGCTGGGATTACAGGCGTGAGCCACAATGCCCGGCCGCTTTATCCACTTTTTAAAATTTGACAGAAATATGCAAAATAACATTTGTTCAATCATATAGATGCTTGTTTGACCTTTGTACTTTTTAAAACATTTTTTTCAAATGCAGACACCTATCATAGAACTTATTACTTAAAAATAAACATTCAAGTGTAATTATTCATTCCCAACAGATTTTCAGTCAAAAGATGACAGAAGCAAATTATGTCTATAATCTCTAAGAAAAGGAAATAAAGATACAACTAAAGCAACTCAGCAACCTGGGGATACTATGCAGTTAAGAATCTATTGCTATAAATAATTACTATACCCTAAAGCACACCAACCAATACATATATAGAACACCATGTGCCGGGAAGCATTCCCTCTAACACCATGGAGTAAATTAAATTGTAACAGGACTTTTTCAAATACTCATACATGGTGTCCAGACTCAGATGAATCGACTGCTTAGTCCTAGCAACATGCCCTGCCACTCTGCTTCCATCCATAATGCAGACTCACAGCCACTTCCCCTAGCATTTCTATCAGGCTTCTCTTTGATAAGCAGCTTCTCCCACAGTCAGGCACCTTTTCACATTCCCATTGTGGAACCAGTTGGTGAAATTCTGCAGAACCATTGACCCCCGAGGACCAAAGCACTAAAGGAGAGGTGAGAAATTGAGCTAAATGAGGTAATTTCACCCTGGAGGTCTAGCTGGACCTCTCTAGAGATCTCCTAGATCTCTCTGTCTCACAGGCTTGTATTTCTGTCCAGTCATTTCTGCTTACTGGCTTGGGTATATATATAGTTCAAACAGCTTTCCTTTCACATGAATACTCTCTGGAACAGTAATTTCCAAAGCATGAGATCTGCACAGAAGATGACTTTAAGTGTTACATGATTTTGCCAACATGACGTTTAAATACCACTCACTTAGAAAATTATTAATCACAAAAAAAAAAGTTCCCATTTGCAACAGTACTTGTTTAATAAATTTAACAATTTCTAATTTTTAGCACAGGAACCCTAAGTGACAAGAGTCTAGTTAACAAAACACAATAATTACTATACTTTAGGGTATAGTAATTATTTTGTTTTCATTGTATTTATTTTTATGGTGGTATAAACTTTCATTTTAAAATTAACTTAAAATTTTTAGAAAGTGAGTTGACATAAAGGAAAACATTAAATAAATAGAAAACAGTAAAAAATAATAAAGGCAAGGCCAGGCATGGTGGCTCACACCTGTAATCCTAGCACTTTGGGAGGCCAAAGCAGGTATATCACTTGAGGTCAGGAGTTTGAGACCAGCCTGGCCAACATGGCAAAACCTCATCTCTACTAAAAATACAAAAATTGGCAGGGCGTAACAGTGCACACCTGTAATCTCAGCTACTCGGGAAGCTAAGGTAATCGCCTGAACCCGAGAGGTGGAGGTTGCAGTGAGCCAAGATCAGGCTGTTGCAGTGAGCCAAGATCAGGCTACTGCACTTCACGCCTGGGTGACAGAGACTCTGTCTCAAAAAAATAAATAAAACTAAATAATAATAATAAAGGCAATAAGTGTGACAAACATTTGGGAAACATTTATCTAGAAGAAGGTTTCTCAAACTTTTAATGTGTATCAGAATCACCTGGAAGGTTTCTAAAAACATAGATTACCAGGGCCTATTCCCAGAATTTCTGACTCAGTAGGTGGATCCAAGAATTTGCATTTCTAACAATACAAAGTGATGCTGAGGTGATGCTGAATTGCTGGTCCAAGGACCACACTTTGAGAATAACTAAACCAGAACAGTGACCAACAAGCTTTTTGTTAAAGAGTCAAATGGTAAATGTTTCAGGTTTGCAGGCCATATGACTCTGTTGCAACCCTTCA